AGTAAACACTGAAAACGGGTCCCACAGACCCAAACAGCACACAAAGGTATATACTAATGTTAAAATGTGCTAAATATATACACTGCAAAAAACTAAAAAAAGAGGAGTAAAAGTAGCTCACGAGTCACGACTTGTTTTATTTTTTGAAAGTAGCTCTCATTCTAAAAAAGGTTGGAGACCCTGTCTAGAAATCATTTATCATTGTTTTGAACCAGACATGATCCAGCATATCATATATATCCAGTATATCCAACCCGTATACACCACCCAACATATATGTTTTTTTTAGAATAAAACCAATGGACGCCATTCCAAGCTATCACAGGATTTCAATCAGTTTCCCAAAGCCCATTACGCGTCCTCAGATGTCTTATCATATGTCAATATCACTTTATGTTATGGAGGAGTAAAGAAACCCCCAACAAATACTTTGAAGAAACACAATTGTTGGTGATTCATTGAATAATCTTTGCAGCTCTAAATGAATTAAATGTATTCACATTTTCCAAACCTCTATGATAATATTTAAATGTTAGGTTGCTGTATCTGTAGTTATCTGTAAAGAGCTGATGGTGGATTTTTAGCATTTTGCTGTTAACAGCATTCCAACTATCTGTTATTCTACGGACGAAAAGTTTATTATTATTCCGCCGGTATTTTGGCCCTCTTCTCCTCCCGCATTGAACATCGCAGAAACTCCGTTCAAATATCAAAACGTTCAGCTCGGTCGGGAATCGATGGCTATTACTTTTCTCATTCATAACTTTCATAATTACAGAGATACATCCCATAATACATCACATTTTTAACATTGAAGTCAATGGAGGAAATCTTCAGACTTCAACAAATCTTCATGCGACTTCAACTGCTAACTGTTCATTCATACTTTCACTCAGAAACCTCATTCCAACTTTAAAATGTTACACATCTTTCTGACATTATTCGTCTAAAACAACTTTTAAATCTGATTCTTACTTTTAGAGATATTAAACATTGTTTTAGAGGTTTTCTTCAGATTTTAACATTAACTAGAGTGCGTGATGTCACAGCTAGAGGGTAGAAAATCTTGAAATTTGCCTTCATATATTTTTCTAAAACTGCCATAATTCCCAAAACCTACATTCCTGAGACATAATTTTTCATGACAAACGTAGGAAAACATATCGTAGCTTGAAAAGTGACAAATAATTAAGCAAAAATAATTAAACAAAATGCCTCTTGAGGGCATGAAGTGACAACAACTTTCAACATGCCTCCATTAAAGCCCATTGTAATTTCAGGCTGATATTTCCTCACGGTAGCAGCCGCACACCTTTAGTTAAACTGGCAAAAAGGCCACATTATTAACCCGAAAGTACACAAAAATTACACTTCAGATACTCAACTTCCTTGACATGCTTCACGTTTTGAAATTTCACAGATATCTGTTACGGTTCTTCCACAAAACGTTCACATGTAAGAGGTTTATCTCTCATTCAGAACAATGGAAACCTTTGATCTCTACAGAGCTCGTTAGCTCAACTATAAACACCTGTGTAATGGAACACGATGATGTCATCACTCCAACTGACATGCTCAGAGCAGCAGACTTCAGATAGCAGTGTGCTAACAGTCCAGCCGTGAAGACATCTACGGGACAGTTTGAGATTTCTTCAAATGCCGTTGTCATGGCAACACAATGCTCACCTTGAAACACGGTTTTCTCATAACTTCAGTGAAAATACTCCAAACAGCCCAGAACTTCACAGGTTTGGTAACAATGCAGCCATCAACGCATCTAAGCGTAGTATGGGGTGTCATCAAATGCCGTTGCCATGGCGACAGACCACTCGCCATGAAACATGATGGGCTGTAAATCCAATCAACACGGTCCAATCGTCCCCCAATCTTCACTTGTATATCACCGGTCCATGCTTCAACAGCTCTACGCCAAATCTGAGATCTCACCATATGCCGTTTCCATGGAAACGCATCCCTCGCCATAAAACATGATGTCGCTATAACTCCTATGGAAATGTTCAAAAAGTGCTCAAACTTCACCTGTGTGCTAACAGTCCGGCCGTGAAGACATCTATGGGACGGATTTGAGATTTCTTCAAATGCCGTTGCCATGGCAACACAATGCTCGCCATGAAACACGGTTTTCTCATAACTTCAGTGAAACTGCTCCAAACGCCCCAAAACTTCACAGGTTTGGTAACGATGCAGCCATCAACGCATCTAAGCATAGTATGGGGTGTCATCAAATGCCGTTGCCATGGTGACAGATCATTCACCATCAAGTTAGTTCAGAAGTTTGCAGTTCAAATATTCTGCTGCTTTTCCAAGCCTTTTTACTTTCTCTTCTTCTCTCATCACACATTCAACTCCCCAGTGTTCATGTATCATTTCAATCTAAATTCTTCACTTTCTTCTTACACATTACATTTCAGCATAGCAGTTTAGTGTCAGATTTTCAGCATAAAGCATTCCCACTAGCAATTTCTTCAGGAATTGCATTCTCTAGTTAATTACAGTTATTGATTAAATGAGTGTTTTATATGTGGCTCAGCCTTGTGGTTCGTATATGTTTTATTAATCAAACCTCTTTCGTGTCCACTCTCCTTTTCCTTTGCACCATCTTCCTATCAGTTGGCCTTGCTTGCATCAGGTAAGCTGAACCTTAACTTATTTTCTCCTTATTCACTATTTTTTAAATGACATTGTATTGCAATTGTTGGTGTATACTGTAACTGATACAGACAGCCAGGTATTTAATGTATTTGTCTTTGTGTAGTGGTTGGAGACCAGACCCAACAGACAAGTGTGTCCTGTGTGTAAAGCCGGTATCAGCCGAGACAAAGTAATCCCATTATATGGACAGGTCAACAAGACCCCAGGTAGGTCCCTTTGTGTTGGATTACTGATCTGACTGACTCTAAGGTGCTGTTTACACGAGAACGCAAACGGTTGTATCCCCTACTTTTCTCTTTCGTATAGCCCGTTCGTTCACACAAGGCCTTAACGGAAACGCGGAAACGGACACCGCAAATGATAACGGGTCCCAAGGTGGATAGATCTGCAAACAGAACGCTCTGGGGGGGCCAAACGGCTCAGTGTGTATGTCCTATACGATAATTTCCTGATAACGATGAGCCATAGCCCCACCTCTCCCCACCTCTGCTGCTCACTGCTGTAGCATGGTCAGTAGCTACTGTCAGTAGCTACTGTCAGTAGCTACTGCTACTGACCATGCTACAGATGTTAGTGCAAAATCTACAGCTCGACCATGCTACAGATGTTAGTGCAAAATCTATAGCTCCTCTACCACAACCATCAGCAACAAGTGGATATGGAGAATTACATGAACTACATGTTGCTAAATCCACCGCGGAGCCTAAACAGAAGGGCAACCATGCTCGGGGGTCTTCTTCGCTGCTTTTGGTGTATTTTGTGGCGGAAGTACAGCGCCACTTACAGGCCCGGCATATGTACTACAGCGTCTCCAGCGTTTTCGAGCGGTCTCGTGTGAACGGAAGACTTTTTTGATATCGTATTCGGTTTGTTTGCGTGTAAATGGGGTCTAAACGTCCTGTGTTATGTGATCACAATAAATATCTTAAAATAAGCACTTTTCTAAACGTTTACTGAATATGTATAAACAATTGCAGGGCACCTAATCATTGCTTTAAAAAAAATATTTTGTTTTTTATTATAGAGAATGAACTCTCCCTCAACCACAAGGACAAAGGCCGGAGCCAGAAAACTGTGTTGTAAGTACTTGAATTGTGATTTAAAAAACAAGTACATGATGGCATGTTTTTGCGCCAGATCAATACTTTCTTCATCTCAGACGTGTTTTGTATCAGCTGTTGACTTACATTACACATTCATGATGAAACCATTACCTAGGATGGTGTAGGTGCTGAAGTGCAAACCTGTCTTTTATCCATTAACAAAGATCATTTCCCACTGGGATCTATTAGATGCTTAGGGCGGACGTTTGGAAACGTCTCTTGAAACGTCTCTTGAGAATGATGAAAAATGTCAGTGTCTGTTGCGTCACATCTCTCTGACTGTATGGTAAACTCCATTGTGAAGAGAATTCATGCACAGCTTCATGTTAGTGATGAAATATGTTTCACATGGCTGGTTTGGCTTTGGACATTGGACACCGCAACAGATTCTGACTCTACTCTACCTGTTTGTCGATCTGGTGTTTTCATTGTGGCGGCTGATTGCATAAATGCAAGGAGAAACACCATCTCTGGCTTACCTAGAAGATTTAAAAGAGATGCAACATTATGGCACATCACCAATGTGATTATGCCTTGACATATTTTCCTCTCCTTGACTTGAAGTGTTAACCCAAGGCAAACATCTCTTAAGGTGAACCACACAACCTCCATGGAAAAACGTTTTAAATCATCAATCAATTGTTCTCTGTGCTCTCTTTTTGAGTTTTAGTTGGTATTACTACTGAATTCAAATATATTTTCTGCTAATAAAAATAAGACCACCAGTGCTCTGGGATCATTCACTTTGATTTGCATGCATACATATATTCATATATGATCCCTATGAACCTTTTCAGGTAACTTTTATTGCAATTATCGTTGTTATTTTGTATTGCACGTTTTTATGTGGGAGGGGAGACCAGGTGCATGTTGCGAAAAAAGTATTGTTACAGTGGATGAAGGGGGAGGGGTGTCTAAAGTCAAAGATTAATCTTGATGGGGTCACATTTGACCCCGAGTCACCCCCAACAATGCTGCCGGGTCTTCCCAGACCAGAAACACCAAATTATACACGTTTTGTTTTAGAGACCTTCAGACTTGGCTAAAATTGTCAAAATCAGTTTTGTAGTGTTTACATAGCTGTTGTTGAGTGGAGGATATTATGAAGCCTTGTTATTATATAATTTTAACTTGAAACGGGTCACGGGAGACCCGAACACAACATAAGGGTTACATGTACACTTTGACATAATGACAAACATCAGTTAATGAGGCAACAGATGGTGAGTATTTAGTCAATGCATACTTTACTTTTAAGGATTAGTCACTTAAGAAAGTAGTCTACAACAGTGAAATAGACATGTTGTTAAAGGTGTGCATGCTCTTTTATATATACAGGAGTATAGCATTGTTATTTTACCTAAAGTTTGAGGGAATGCTGAGTGGAATGATTCAATAAACATCTTTAGAGATAGTGTTTTTTTGTACAAAAAGGAGCAGTTGTTTTATAGCAGGTTCTTCAGGATGTGTGCCACAGCTTCTGGGAAACTGTCACATGTCAGGTGGGGGGGAGGGTTGATGTTATCCTCATCTCCTTCTCGGTATTTACCTAACACAGAAATTGGAATGCTATTAATGACAAAAAACAAAACAATGTGTTCACAAGTCTATGTTGGAAGAAGTACAGCATGCCAAAAAATATAAACAACAATCCTATAGTATGTAGGAAAAAAGAACAAAACTCACAGTATAGTTTATTTAAAAAATGAAAAACAGTCATAGTATATATATATATATTAGGGCTGTCAAACGATTACAATTTTTAATCAGATTAATCACAGCTTAAAAATTAATTAATCATGATTAATCACCATTCGAACTATGTCCAAAATATGCCATTTATTTATGCATATTGTTGTGGGAATGGAAAGATAAATGAAAGAAGGCGGATATATCCATTTAACATACAGTATCTATGTTTATTATAACATTTTTCTGCGTGTCTTAATGAAAGACAACCCACACACCTATCAATCATCAAACCGTGGGGTCTTAATTCATTACGTGTTGATTTCTATCAACGGGGGAGTACTTCAGGAAAGTCGACGGGGGGGGCGGCTAGTGGAGTACTTCGTGACCACAGAGTGTGAACGTTGTGATCAGCTGTTTTAGCGCAGTTCTCCAGTGAAGGGGGGGGGAGTCTCCCTCCGTAGCCGGTTGGCGTAGTTCTGGCACAATTCCGTTGTACAGACCGACGTTAACAGCAGCCCTGTCTGTGCACACGGAGACCGACTCTGTCGTCCGGTGATCTAACCGCCTTCTGGAAAAGCTTCACAAGTACGTCGGTAAGCAAATGCGCTTTGTGACACAAGTGACGGTACGCATTTCAGATTACGCACATAACCTGGGTACCAGTTATGTGCACCCCTGTACTACAGCAAAAGTATTCTCCGTCGGGACTTCCTGCAACAACACCACGCCGTTATCAAAGATGTTCTATTGAGAAGACGATCACTACGTGACAAAAGTTTTCAAAACCGTGGCTACTGAAATCAATCTTACTAACTGCTGTCTGTGCAATTTACTCCGCGCGAGTTGGCAGATTTTATTTTGCTTCCTTTAACATCATTTTTCATGGTGGGGCTAAGCCATTTATTGGTATGGGTGTAGCCTATCCCAGCCATACCCTGGCGCTGCCACTGGTGGCACGTATGGGGCGGGCCATTCTGCACATGCGTTAAATGCGTTAAATATTTTAACGCAATTAATTCAAAAAATTAATTACCGCCGTTAACGCGATAATTTTGACAGCGCTAATATATATATATGTCATATAAATTACATAGTATTGTACATTGAAAATATCACAAAAAACAACAAAGTATAGTATGTTGAAATTATCTGAAAAATCGACAAATAAATGAGACAAAACAATGTAATGTAGTGTATCAAAACAAAAATCAGAAATCTGAAAAGAAATCTGAAAAAAAAATGTCGAAAAAACGTCATAGTATGCAGAATGTCGTAAAGTATAGAAAGTCATAAAAAGTCATAGTATAGTTTTCCATAAAAAAGAAGGGAAAATAAAAAAGGACGTTTCTCACCAGTTCTGACCAGAATTCCCAACATCCCTGTGTTCTGTGCTCCGCCCACATCATCTCTGGCATCCTATGGGAAAGCAGCACAAACCATTGAAAACATAATTTGATTGGTCTACACATGTACCTACAGGCTGCTGTTGAAACAGTTAGAAGTTGTTTCCCACAGATCCACAAGCTGAGATTCCTATCAGATATTGAAAAGTAAGGTATGATGCGTAAAATAACGTTTTTTAAAAGACATTTCTATTTGGAGTGCGACTGATCTCCGGTTTGATTCCCAACAAGAGCCCACTCTCTCTGTGCCCTTGTTCACAATAATGTACGTATAATGTATGTATACTTACATCTCCTATCATGACAGCTTCAGTGGGGCTACATCCTAAATCAGACAGGGCCTATTAGAAGGAAACACAAAGGCCTTGTTAAGAGGTAGAACAAAAATAAATAAATACAGAAATCTGATTCATACATGGGTTAAGAAGTTGGACAAACTTCTAACCTGTGTGAAGAAACACTTTTCGGGCTTTCCCACCACAGTAGCTCTGCAGTCTGCAGCGAACTCCAGTCCCGCCACAAAGGGCCCGGGGCCGAGGGCCAAACCATCCGCACGTTTGTAGTATCGAGCCTTATGGATGGCGATGAGAGGAGCTCCTTCCAGAACCATCCTGGACAAAATACACACAATTATACACGCTTCACTATCAACCGTAATAACCAGGGGCATAAAGCTCTAGATGGTGTTTTCACAGAGGTACGGTCTCTCAATGACTCAGCCATTTCAAAGTTAAAGATGATAGACATCCTCTTTTGGGAAAATGAAATAAGAGACTAATTAGAAACGTTTTTATTTCTATACCAGCAACAAAAGCTGGACTGTAACTGTTATCTCAATATTTGTAACGCACATGTTTGTGACCCACTGATGGATGTGTCACCTGAAAGCCTGGTTGAGTGTCTGGTAGTTGAAGTGATCAGGAGAGAGTCCGATGACAACGGCGTTTGGCTCTGACGTGTCAATACCTTGAAATTGGAATTATAAAAGTCAATAAGTTATAATATTGATATGATTTTGTATCCAGCATGTCATGTATTAAATGTCGTTATTAAATGTAATGATATAAAGATTATTTGGAAAGGGAAACAATCTATGTAGCTGTCCATCATTTTGCAATAATATTCATCCTGTAAATATAATGTATGATGTCCTTTATTGTTTTATGTTTCATGTGGAACCTATATGCTGCAGGTCTCCCTTGAAAAAGAGATCTATGATCTCAAGGGACCAATCTGGTTAAATAAAGGTTTGAAATGAATGTCATTGTGCACTTTGGAAACAATTCAACAACTACTCATCGAAAAATTGTGAACGTACAGTAAGATTTGGCTTTGGACCCCTTAAAATAAACTGATGGCTATAGGTTGAATAGCGACACACACACACACACACACACACACACACACACACACACACACACACACACACACACACACACACACACACACACACACACACACAACACACACACACACACACACACACACACACACACACACACACACACACACACACACACACACACACACACACACACACACACACACACACACACACACACACCACACACACACACACACACACACACACACACACACACACACACACACACACACACACACACACACACACACACACACACACACACACACACACACACACACACACACACACACACACACACACACACACACACACACACACACACAGCGTTATGTTCAGGTTCTTTTCCTTGATTTTAAAAGATATAATATTGTTAAAATGCTTGTTTACTGTTGTACCACCTAGTACTTGGTGCTTTGGCAATACTTTGTTTTTGAAATGGTCATGCCAATAAAGCTTATTTGAACACACACACAAACCACGCCCTACACCCTAGCCGGTTTGGGATTGGGCCTCACTCACACACCTGTGAAGTCTTCCAGAGCGCTGTCCTCCACCAGCAGCAGCGGTCTGAGTTGGTTCCGCTCCACCAAACTCCTCGCGGCACTGAGCGAAGTGAAGATCTCTTTTTCCTGCAGTTAGGTTCATTTTCAAAATAAAAGTCAGGGAATAAAGAGTTGATCTCTTCATGAAGTAGCTCGCATTAAAGCATGTGCACATTTATTCTCAGTTCTTTCACATACATTCTAAAAAACAAATGTACATTGTTCAAAGTAACTTGTCATACTTCTGTAGGGAATATTTTGGTATATTTACATTTCATTTTCTTTTAAGATAATAGTTTTCAACATGTCAACCAAGTCTTCTTACTGTGTTTATGTAGGCAGCATTTCACACCACAGCACATTCCTTGTATGTGTAAAGTCACTTGGTAATAAACCTGGTTCTGAATAAATGAAACCTGTGTTTGGAAGTTCTACCTGGACGTGGAAGTCGAGCCGCTGCAGTCTCTCCACTAAACTCCTCTTGCTCTCCTTCGTGGTGTTGGTCACAAACTTCACATCGACAGACGCCTGCCGTAACCTGAAGGCACCGCGACACACAAGCAAACATTTCAACTTTAAAGCACACAAAACCATAATAACAGCGACATTTTACATTTCATTTTAATAAATTATATCTTTATTGAGCATACATAACCTAATTAAATACATGTTAAGCTATAATTCTTAACATAACAATCAACAAACCAGAAAAAAAGAATAAAGAAAATAAGGATCCCCTTGTTTATAGCAGTGGTTCTCAACTGGTCAAGCCTCAGGACCCAATGTTTTCCTTTGTCAATAAATCGCGACCCAAAGTTTTGAACCACTCAAATGTATTTCACAGAAAATAGTGCAGTAATGTATATGCTTCTCAGCAGACACTTTTAAGTAAAGTGAAGTACAGTGTATTCATTTTCAGTAAATGTATTCCATGAAACAAAACCACATCCTCAACATTGTTAGTGCAATGCAAGGCAGATTATATCCCTTCACAGAACTAAAACAACCCCATAGCATTATCTCTCCATAGAGGAGTGTCCCAATACTTTTTTTTATATACACTATATAGACAAAAGTATTGGGTCATGACTAAGAGAAGTGTCCCAATACTTTTTTTATATACACTATATAGACAAAAGTATTGGGTCATGACTAAGAGAAGTGTCCCAATACTTTTTTTATATACACTATATAGACAAAAGTATTGGGTCATGACTAAGAGAAGTGTCCCAATACTTTTTTTATATACACTATATAGACAAAAGTATAGGGTCATGATTAAGAGGAGTGACCCAATACTTTTTTTATATACACTATATAGACAAAAGTATAGGGTCATGATTAAGAGGAGTGACCCAATACTTTTCTCTATATAAAAAAAAAAAAGTACAGGGACATTAGAAGACAAAAAATCATAACATTCTCCATGGGGAGAATGCCCCCATGAGAATGTTATGATTTTTTTTCTACTATTTTTTACATATCCATGACTTCATTCATGTTTTTTCTCTACATGATATAATAAAAACATATTTCACAGGATCCTTTGATTTGTAGTTCATGAGGTTATACTTATACTTAAACGATTCCATGTAGATTTGTTTTATTATCGTATACTAGGAATACAACAAAATCTTCTACTTGATTACCTCTGGTGTTTTCCAAGCTGGGTTTTTATTCAGAGGAATACCAAAACCTGTTATGAGCATTTTTCATTGCTATTTGGGCGATGTCTCCTACCTGTTGAGGGCGTCCTGCGCCCCGGGCACCGCCGTGTCCTCGATGTGTAAAGTTCCACTCAGGTCGATGAGCACCGCCTTCAGAGCGCGTCGGCCCGCCATGATGGAGACCTGCAGAGCACGTAGAAAATACTGAATGTTCTCTTCTAATATCAAAGTAGCACATGATAACAAAAGCCCTACGTAGCTGTGCACGTAACCGGATGTATGATTACCTAGAAGAGCGTCAGGACACACTGTGTTAGGCCTATGATAGCTATGTGACAACGATTAACATGATGATTCAGCCTCTATGGGGATAGACATGTGACAAGCATGATCATTTCTGACGTGGGCCTTAGCTAATCTAAACCAAACATTGTATACTGCTTTGAACCGGTATTCCTCCATCTTGTGACTGTAACACTCTCTTGTATATCAGCATGTGAAGGACACTGTTCTGGAACTAGTTGTCCCAAATGCCCTGTGTGTGATGACTACTTCCATTATTGAGAGGATCATAAATACATGTATCCTGATATTGAAGCTCAAGCCGGTGACGAGTGATATTTTCCTAACAATTTTAATTTTATTCCATTTAATTTTATTATGTTTATACTTGTTTCCACCTTAAAGATTTAAGGATTGTAATGCCTGAACACACTGCTGAAACTAAATAATTCCCCAATTTGGGATCAATAAAGTACCTATCTATCTTAAAGAAAAGCTGGAAGAAGTACTTTTAGTGCATACCAAATAGCTCTTAAGTAAAGGTAAGTATTCACATCAAAATATCCTTAAGGTTTCAAGAGTAAACATAATCATATGAAACTATTGGATTATAATTATAACTATAATACAAACATAGAATATATCATATCAATTATTATTTATCAATTGAGAGTTTTGTATTGGCTAATAATCTGAATATGTAAAGTAACTACTTGTAATGAATGCTTGTCAAATAACTGTAGTGGAGTAAAACTCTAAAGTAGTACAAAACAAAAAATACTTAATAGAAGGTAAAGTACAAGTACCTCAAAATTGTAATTAAGTATGGTACTTGAGTAAATGTACTTCCCTACATTCACCACTGGTTTAAGGCATACGACACGCCATGTTTGTCGTTTTCTTTTTACTAATACCGTCTGTAAAGAAAATGTCTTGTATTTTGAGCAATGACAAAACAAAGAAAAAGTTCTGTCTCAAGCTTTATTGCTATACTGTTTAGCTAAATTCACTCACATAACAATGGTACAAATAATCCTCGTCCTAAAATTGGACTGTCACTCACTTGACTGAACATTAAACAGCCACATTATCAATAGTGTTTCAAATCTGTTATCAGTTTTACGCTGTTAGATAAGAGCTGCTCCGATTAGGATGTTCTAAACCACTAAGTATGACCAAGGTCCGCTGTAAATGGAGCTTTACTCAGTTTAAAAAAGCTTATTCTTTCATAATAATATTTTATTTGAGAGATTATACCTCCATAATCATAATTCACATAGGTAGTGGCAGAATTGATCAGATTACTGCGTTGTTCAAACCTACATCAGGACCGATTGAGAGGATTATTGACCGGTTCGTGACATCATGCCTAAAACACAGATTTTAGGATTGTATTTTATGTGTGATCCCCTATTATTTAGACATGTTCGGATTTCTGTTGTGTAGTTATCAATGTGAGGGTACAATTAATGATCTTAATACGCTCACCAAAAAACAAACGTACAGCCTGTAGGTCATGTCTCTCTTATTTGTATTTAGCTCCACTAATATCAGAAAAGCGTGCTGGGAGGGGAGTGCCAAAGTAAAAGGCTGTGTGTGTGTGTGTGTGTGTGTGTGTGTGTGTGTGTGTGTGTGTGTGTGTGTGTGTGTGTGTGTGTGTGTGTGTGCTGGGGAAAACAGGGCTAAACTAAACAAGCTTCACAATTTTCCAACAATTACCTCTGAGTTTGTACATGTTTATTGAACTATCTTTATGTGATGTTTATTTATTAATATTCACTGTTACATTAAGTGTTCATTCAGGTTGTGTCGATGAATTATAATATGAGGCAGACAGTAAGAAAAAAAAAGAACAGAAAAGATAAGAATATTATTTAAAAATATATATTATTTAAACTGAAATAAACACTATGTGTAATGCAGCTGTTCTTATTTATATAGGGAACTGTTTGTGTTTTATTATAATTGTATGTGAGTCTTGAATCATAATCATGGTTTTATTTTGTAATTACTATTATTTTTAAATTATCTCCATTGCACTGAGGTTGTATCAGCTGTAACATTAACAACCAGCACTTATCAAGTGAGATAACCAGCTAATAGTAGTATTAGATGCTAGCTGGACCTGTTCCCCTGAATGAAGGATAAAAGGTAAAAAGGGAATTATTTAACCGATAAATTAAACTTTTAATATCCACTACTTCATTTCCACACTTTCCGATGTCACTGCTCATAAAAAACGTTGTGTTTTTAACAGCAAAACGTCTTAATAACTGAGTAAATGTGAAGAAAGTTAGCAAACTGCAAAGCTAACCTTTAGCAACAGCTCTCCCCCGACTTCCTGGTTTCTTCTTCGTTGGTGTAAAGTGGAGTTTCGTCTCTGTGAGCTCAGTGCTGCCCCTTCCGGCTCAACACCGCAACAGCATATTCTCTCGTAATTCCTATATCTTATGTTTTTATATTTTTGTACCTCTTATTTTTGGAAAAACATTTTTTTTTAATAGCACTTTTTTACATCACTACTTCTTATCTCTATTATAATTATTTCCCCCCAATTCATAATGTATGTTATGATCAGATAAGAGGGTTATCCTTAACCACTTAATCACTCATTACAATAATAATAAAAAAGCATATGCATCCCGTCATCCCGTCCCACTAACAACCAACAGATGTTTTGCATTAGTGGTTCTTTAAGGGCATTCAGATTTAATATGAGGAGAGGTATTATCAAAAACGGCAACAACCTTCTCTCCGCCGTATGCCAGACAGCACTGATCAAATCCTCTTTCATACATCCATTGAATAACTGTTTCCCAGTGTTGTTTTGGAGTTTTCCTCCCAAAAATATTGTGCTGCCCATCAACTGGGAAAACACGAAAACTAATCTGACACTATGAATGTTTTGTTCAGACAAAATATCTAAATGATTAACATATTTTAAATCCCTTCTTATATATATATATATATATATATATATAAAAAAACGCTTAAATGTTATTTTCTGGATTTGTTTTTTTAACCTTTTCTTTTTTGATGCTTGTGTTGGGAATACACCTGTCTCTCTTTTGGTTATAACACGTTTGCCAACAGTCCCTTTGTCTCTGCTCCACAACTGTGTTAGGAAATAAAATGTGAACGCACTACATATTTTAGTTTCTTACTTTTATCCATATTTATTCAAAATCTAAGAGGCAGCTTTTTTGTATGGTTCTGGTGGACAGACATTGAGGATGTCAAGTCTAAAACCAATACACTTAATTTAGTTGTCTTAATTGTAATTGTAAAGATTTAAAATAGCTCTCATGTTTATCTGTAACGTTAAAAAATCAAGTCCCTTTTTTTCAAGTTAATGTTGAAGATGTCTTTCTAGAATTAAAGTCAACATATTTTCGAGTTTTGAATCTTACCCATGACCCTCTGCTGCATGTCATGTCGTCTTTCTCCCATTTGCCCTCCTTATAATACATGTAAAATACCCATAAAGTCATAAAAGTAACAAGTCACACACACATCTAAACATTTTACATCTTTAGAAGCTAAAGGGTCAAAACAACATCTGAATGATTTATCATTGAAAATCCCCAAACATCCTGACCTGTGAAGTGCAGATCCATATTCACGCATGATCGCTTACAGATGTCACTGTGAACCCACCGCTAAACTCCGACTAATCACAGATCAAAGTGGCTTTACTACGAAAATCTCTCTGACAAACATATGCTACTAATTCCAGCAGATCCCCTCTCCCCCTCCCACGCATTTAGAATCTACAGTAGTATTCATACAAATATGTGTGCAGCTTCGTGGCAGAGGAAAGGGTGATAATTCACAACATATGTGGATTATCAATGAAGTGGAGCAGGGATGGATGGACACATGTGTGGATTATATGTGTATGTCGAACTGAAGAGAGGGGTTCTTCAAATACTCGGACTTAAATGAAAACAAATGTATGATAACAAAAAAGAAAATATAAAGAATTGAATAATACATTTATTTCAAGACAAAAAAACATCTCATTACTATTACAATGAGAGGGAATTGATGTGTAAACAGTACACATGTGGATTGTTTTGAGCTGCGTTTGGCAGTATTGCTTAGAATCTAGATTAAAACATTTAACCACATTTAACATACGGATAAATCACAGAACATTTGTCTGACTGTTTGTGTAAAATCTGTATATTGCACCTATGAAACGCCAAGTAGGTTTTGGACTCTAAAGCATACACTATCAGAATGAAGTCCTGAAATACAAGTTGGCAGCCTAAAAACACTTTTAACTTACTTCCAGTTTGAAATAAATAAAAATGGCACCTCATTTTTTACATATTGTCAAGCCCTACTGCTGTAAAAACTGTTTTACATTATCGTTTGTAACAAGATGATAAAACATACATTATGATTAAACCATTGTATCGGAGTGTTGAAACGAGGACAAACACACTATGAAACACAAAGTGGCGATATGACGAATCATTATTTCCATTGTGTCCTTTTTGTGTCCCACTGACACGCAGGTGAGGTCAGGGTTAGTCCTGGTGTTTAGGCCACACTTTCTGTGACTTGTGGTTGGGTTGTTTCATCTTGTCTTTGAGTGTAAAATGTTTAAGTTTTTTCGAATTCCATGCCGTTCTTCACTCTGCTGATGACTGGCGAAGTCTCTAACTGATGGATATTTCTCTGTGTTTAAGTTTGTGGTTGTTCTTTGGCACGTCTGGTCCTCTGGCTTGATTGGTGCTCAGTGTACCGCCGTCAACCGAAGAGTAACAAGAGGACAATGCAGACTGTATTCACTATTATCAAAGGCACTATGGAAAAAAGAGAAGAAAAAGAATTAGCAGAATCCTCAACCCTTAGAAATACAAGTACCCCAACAACAATTAGGTAATTTAAGAATTCTGTAATTTCATATTTCCTGATTTAAAACAAAAATATTTGGCTGATGTAATGCTTTCATTGTTTTTTATCCATGAACTTTATTGTTTTTTTGCAACTTGCGGTCCAATAAGGTTTCTATAGGTCAGGCCTTCATTGAATCTGATCTTTTCAAATGATACACAGCACGACTAAATATATCATTCACTCAACATTTTCATTACATTTTAGAAGGTGGAATCTACACTGAACAAAAATATAAATGCAACACTTTTGTTTTTGCTCTCATTTTTCATGAGATGAACTCAAAGATCTAAAACATTTTCTATATACACAAAATAACCATTTCTCTCATATTGTTCACAAATCTGAAAAAATCTGTGATAGTGAGCACTTCTCCTTTGCCGAGATAATCCATCTCACCTCACAGGTGTGGTATATCAAGATGCTGATTAGACAGCATGATTATTGCACAGGTGTGCCTTAGGCTGGCCACAATAAAAGGCCACTCTGAAACGTGCAGTTTTGCTTTATTGGGGGGGGTCTGGGGGGGGTCCGAAAACCAGTCAGTATCTGTTGTGACCACCATTTGCCTCACGCAGTGCAACACATCTCCTTCGCATAGAGTTGATCAGGTTGTTGATTGTGGCCTGTGGAATGTTGGTCCACTCCTCTTCAATGGCTGTGCGAAGTTGCTGGATATTGGCAGGAACTGGAACACGCTGTCGTATACGCCGATCCAGAGCATCCCAAACATGCTCAATGGGTGACATGTCCGGTGAGTATGCTGGCCATGCAAGAACTGGGATGTTTTCAGCCTCCAGGAATTGTGTACAGATCCTTGGGGCCGTGCATTATCATGCTGCAACATGAGGTGATGGTCGTGGATGAATGGCACAACAATGGGCCTCAGGATCTCGTCACGGTATCTCTGTGCATTCACAATGCCATCAATAAAATGCACCTGTGTTCGTCGTCCATAACATACGCCTGCCCATACCATAACCCCACCACCACTAGGGGTTTCACCAACTAATCGACTAGTCGACTACCTTTACCACTAGTCGGCGCTGTAGGCCCTAGTCAACTAGTCGTGAAAGAAATGGAGGTAAACGAGGATCTGCAAAATGCTTCAAAACACGTCCGACATTCTTATGTATGGCAGTACTTCAACAAAGATGTAACCAACTCCACAGTGAAGTGTCAGTTGTGTACAGCTGTACTGAAGTACAACAAAAATACATCTGCTATGCGCAACCATCTGAAGATGAGACACTCGCTGCCGACAGCTAGCACTAGCAGTAATGCTAGCACCAGTGAGCAACGGACCGGCGTCAGCACAGGACAGAGGCAGACGAGCAGCAAGAAAAAACGGGTCTACAGTGATGCGAGCTAGGGTTTACTGCCAGCGGACACCGCATATCCCCACAATGGATAACCCACTGGAGTGGTGGGCAAAAAACGTGCACCGCGTCCCCCGTTTAGCCAAGCTTTCGAGGAGCTACCTGGCTATTCCAGCCACCCCGAGTGAGAGGGTTTTTTCACTGGCAGGCAACACTGTCACCCGAAAGCGGTCAAGCCTCCTTCCCTCACATGTCGATGCGTTGGTGTTCCTCAATGCAAACCAAAAATCTGGAACGGTGGACGTTATCGTGGAGGATAGCGAGTAAAGTGTTGCGCAATGCGCTGTTGAGCACTGGATTTACGTGGCATTTCAGTAAACAGAGTTTTTTGCTGTCGATTTTGGTGAGTCCAGTTACTGTTTGTTATTTACTAAGTCCAGTTACTGTTTGTTATTTACTCAGCCATGTAACACAAATTAAAATGCAGTGTTTAATGTAACTGTATGAGTTCCGATATAAAATACAGTTGTACACCTCTCTTTGTGTGTCTTTATTATGACGTAACGACTAGTCGACTGCTATTTTGAAAAACGTGTCGACTAGTAAATATTGGTAGTTGTGAAACCCCTAACCACCACCATGGGCCACTCGATTCACAACATTGACATAAAAAAAACGCTCACCCACACGACGCCACACACGCGCCATCTGCCCTGAACAGTGAAAACCGGGATTCATCCGTGAAGAGAACACCTCTCCAACGTGCCAGACGCCATCGAATGTGAGCTGTTGCCCACTCAAGTCGAACCGGAGTCAGGTCGAGACCCCGATGAGGACGACGAGCATGCAGATGAGCTTCCCTGAGACGGTTTCTGACAGTTTGTGCACAAATTCTTTGGTTATGCAAACCGATTGTTGCAGCGGCTGTCCAAGTGGCTGGTCTCAGACGATCTTGGAGGTGAACATGCTGGATGTGGAGGTCCTGGGCTGGTGTGGTTACATGTGGTCTGCGGTTGTGAGGCCGGTTGGATGTACTGCCAAATTCTCTGAAACGCCTTTGGAGACGGCTTATGGTAGAGAAATGAACATTCAATTCACGGGCAACAGCTCTGGTGGACATTCCTGCTGTCAGCATGCCAATTGCACGCTCCCTCAAAACTTGCGACATCTGTGGCATTGTGCTGTGTGATAAAACTGAACATTTTAGAGTGGCCTTTCATTGTGGCCAGCCTAAGGCACACCTGTGCAATAATCATGCTGTCTAATCAGCATCTTGATATGCCACACCTGTGAGGTGGGATGGATTATCTCGGCAAAGGAGAAGTGCTCACTATCACAGATTTTTTCAGATTTGTGAACAATATTTGAGAGAAATGGTTATTTTGTGTACATAGAAAATGTTTTAGATCTTTGAGTTCATCTCATGAAAAATGGGAGCAAAAACAAAAGTGTTGCGTTTATATTTTTGTTCAGTGTATGTTTTCCTATGTGAACTAACTTACTTACCTCTCATGACAGTGCGAACCGAGCGGATGAGGGTTAGAATCTGAGCTTTGACACCCGGATCGTCCCCAAAACCTCCAACTCCCTGGTCGACCCCCCAGCCGACTGAAGACAGCGAGGAGCAAATGGGGTGAAACAGAGGGGGAAGTAAAGAAAAGAGAAAGGAAACAGGATGAAGCAATTGGTTGGAAGAGAATAAAACACAACAGCAAATGTATTTGTTTTTAAAATCGTCCCTAACATGCCTTTTGTGGTAAATGGTCTGTGATGGCTTAAAGTTCCCTAGAGGGACTGAAACATTCATTTGGACTCCATTGTTTACTTCATTAAATAAAACAACATCACTGTGTATAACTTCTATTGGCTAGCGCTACAACAAATTGTACGTGATCGGCTAAGGCAGGGGTCGGCAACCCGTGGCCCACGGGCCGCATGCGGCCCTTGAGCCCTAGACAAAAATAAGAAGGAAATAAAATAAAAGTATTTGTAGGACTATTTATATTTTGTTGCATGGTTGAAAATGTTTCGTATCTTGTATTTTGAGGTGATACTGTGACACATAAATAAAAAACATAACGATTTTAATTAGGTCAACTAAAATATGCGTCACATCTGGCTACGGTCCCGCGTGAGCGCCTTTTCTTGGAGGCGCATAACCTGACCCCCTGGCTCGATGAGCGAACTATGGATAAATCAAAGAAAAGTACCGGAGGAACACAGAATTTAATTCTGTGTGGACAGAGTTATATGCTTTCACAGCAAACAATGCTGGTTTACCGGTATGTTTGATATGTAGAGAGAAGTTGTCAACGGTGGTGCAGCCTTTACGTATCGAGGAACAACACGGGAGAGGAAGACAGCTGACGATCTTCAGTCATAATTCAATGAGGTATGTAATTTATTTCAGAAAACACTTTTTGTTATATTCCATGGAATGCTCTTAACGTCCCGATAGCAATGAATATATTAAATGCTTTGACAATAAATACATACAAAAATTAATCTCTGGAAGCCGTAGCGATGTAAAAAGCACGACCAATCATCTGAGCCGGCCCGGCTAAAATAACTGGATGGCCTACCTGCCTGTCAGCCTTCCATCTGTGCACAAACTTATCTCGTGCCCTCATTGGTCATGTGCGCGTTCGTGTGTGTTGGAGGAGGGGCTTTGTGTACTTTCAAAATTCTAGCGCACTCGAGCTGGTTTCTCCATTCTTACCTACCCTACCTTTAACTCTTTTTAGGGTGCAGCTATATGTTTTATTTATTTCAAAGTGGGCCCATTTTAATAATATTTATTTTCCTTCAAATGTGCAGAGGACTCCCCAAGTGCTGTGTTTAATTTATTTTAAAGTAGGCCTGTGTATTATTTTTAATTCTCCTTATAAGAGTTCTTTGTTTCTTATTAGAGGTTAACAGTTTTATATCATGTAATAAATAGCCTAATAAATGCAAAAAACTGTAGTTTTTGTCTGATATAACAATAAAAAACTATGAAATATGTTTTGCGGCTCCAGACAAAAAAATGTTTTGGAAAAAGGAGCAAAATGGCTCTTTTGGTCAAAAAGGTTGCAGACCCCTGGGCTAAGGGATGAGACTTCTCTAAACAATTGACCAATCACAACAGAGCCTGCCAGCTAACCAATCAGAGCAGACTGGGCTCTGGTTTCAGACAGAGTGAAAATAGGTTCTGCTTCACAGGCAGTATGAGAAAAATAAAGAGCTTTTTGAACATAAAAGCATGGAAACATGTCACAGTAAAGGCACAACATATAATTTGCATAAAAGGACTCCTTTAACATTAAGTGTTTCCACAAATGTTACCTTTAGTAGCACTAATTGTAATTTATTATATGTAATGTCTTGTCTTTTATCTATGTAATGTCTTGTCTTTTATCTGGACCCTGAGTCTGTAATAAAGTTTTTCATTCATTCATTCTAAGAATGGCACAATTATATTATTCAACACTGAACATTTCTCTCCAATGAACAAACTTCAAACTTCTGTCTAAAAAATCCCAACATAATCCGATTCAATGTTAGAACAAAAGGCTGTGTATAACATAGGCAGCTGATAATGAAGTAACGTCACACACTTAGCTAGCTGTTTTTGAAACCGTAAACATCGTATTTGTAATAAAAATGCATGATGTAAACAAAGAAGGATACTTACACTTGCTGAGAAACCTTTCTTCGTGCAACACAGCGACTGCATTAGTGCACAGAATAGCGGTCTGGATGAGAGAGTACAGTGTAAACGCCATGCTGGCAACTTCTTCTCCTCCTCCTTCTTCTTCTGCGTCCACCACTCCCAAAAATGTAGATGCCGTAAAGAGGCAGCGGACGTCGTGAAACAGTAGTAAACGGGAACGAGCTAATAATAAGTACTTCGGTGTTAAGGGAACTTTTGTTTCAAAGTAGTCGTTTAAAAACACATGTATTAATGGGGGAAACAGGTCATATTTCATCATTATGTGTCCCTAGTTATGCATCTTCCCTAAAATCTAAATAATAATACAAAAATATATATAGGACACACATGTACTTTTAAATTATGATATATTTGTCCTCTTTTCTTCTAATGAAAATTGACTAATAAAGTCATACAAAAATAATTGAATATTGAAAAAATGATTTTGTTTCATATAATCCTTGTCAAATGACTTGTGCTGCTGTTGTGACATCTGTGATTTCCCTTTATTTCATTTGTGTGTCTTCTTTTTACAAATCCTCGTGTTTTATATCATATATTTTCTTAATTTAGGAGATGGAGCAGCCTGTATTACTATCACACATTAGCATGAAACATGAAGCCACAGTCCGGTTATTGTATAGACTTTTAATTTACACATAAATAGTAGAGAAACTACAAGAACATATTTTAATACATCTGCATCAACAGTTTATAATGATAACATTTCTCTCAGTAAATGACAACTTTATCCATTCATTCATTCTATAAACAAGGTGGGTGAGTTCTCATGTGTGATCCCTGTGACACACACTTGATCATCATCAACACATTTCTTTCTTTTTGACATTATAATAAATAATATGTTCACAATCAGGGTCTTAGGCCCTGGTACTCAAATAAATAAACAAACAAACACATATAGATAGGCTCACTGTGAGGCTCAGTATTCTCACGTTGACATTGTATACAGTCAGATCAAATCATTTACAGGTAGATGTACAACCCTGACACACGGCAGCCTTCTGCTCCTCGTGTCCCGGATACTCATTTGGAGAGCAAACACGAAAACAGGGATTGGCCTTTAATTGTCATTGTGTCCATCTGACAACACCCCATCATTTAGCTGATGGTGGTAATGTTACCTTGCCCGTGGATCGGTGTTAAAAACATTTGGTCGGAGGGTTACAATTATCTTCACGGTTCATTTTGAGGAAAGGATTCACAAATAAAACAGTAAAAAGGCTGCTGAGCTGTGGATGTGACACAGGATATTGTTTTGAGCTAACTTCCTGTTTAAATAAAAGGTGAAAAATGTCAGCATTGAAAATAATACTCTAGGTTTTTGTGCACTCCCCAAATACTAAAGCTCTTAATTAAAGCGTTACGTGATGATGCCCTTTATTAATACTGCTCTCTCTTTAGGTTTAAAACCCAAAAACACTTATTTCATTTCCTCCCTTGTTCTTCATCTGGCATATTCAAGTTAGTAATGTCTAACGGAGTAAAGGATGGTGCATGAAATCACCACAAACATCTGACCTCTTCAGGGACATGCTGACAACCTGGGTAACTATGAGACGTTTGTTTGGGTCAATGAACACAACTGGACATGATGAGGAGAATCCCTTTGGGACCAAATGTTTTCTCTCAAGGGTGCCAATCTGATCCATCAATGTTAGAAGTCCGTCCTTGTCCACAGTCTGATGTATGTACAGTTGGGCCAGCAGCAGTCATGGACAATAACACAGTCTTACTGTTGCTATGACTCTGCCCCTCTTCGTCTTTCGGAGCTTGGAAAAGTTCACAGTTTGTTTTGCACAGCTCTAAAACTCACAAAAGAGGAGATGGGTTGTGGTTGCTTTGGTCCGGGTTGGGTGAAGCTTTGATGTTCCCTTTTCCCCCTAATGTCGCCAGTGTGTGCCCATTTGAGTTCAGTCAGTTTGGGAAATGAACTGGAGGCAGGGAGAAGGAGCTTTGATCAGCTACTTCTAAAGTGTTTCACTGAACAGAGCTAATAACAAAGGCAGAAGAAAACAAATGTTAATAATATATTCAGTCGTATTCTGTTTGGGTCTCTCCCGTATATTTCTCTGTTTTTTTTCTTCTTGGGACATTCACAGAAATCCAGGCAGCCTTCCTCTCATTGTTGATTCTGCCTGTGAAGAAAGTAAATGCATAGAAACTCAAATTAGTGTCATGTTCTGGTTTAGTGTTTTTCAAAGACTAATGTGTATACTTATGTATGTCTTTTTGCTAGACCAGGATACGTTATTGTCAATCAAATTAAGCACAAAATGTATTTTAATTTCCCAATTTGCCATGAAATAATCACTTTAAAGCAAACAACCCAGTTTAATTGGCTGATTACAGCCTAGTGGTCTAGTTTCCGAAACACTATCCGAACTATACAAAGGCAATTAAACTTGCTGAACTTACTCTCGCTGCTTTGTGTTATAAATAATGAAATGTTCATTTGACATCTACCGTGCTGATATTGTTTTTATTAATAAGCGGCATTTTGAAATGAATGAAAGTAACAATGACCTTTTAGCTATTTGTTGAGATGGGAGCTGATCTTCTCTTTTCTGAGGATGTTTGCGTAGGGAATCTGAAGGGAAGAAGATTCAGAGACAACATTTTAGATCCAGGCTGAACAACATTTGGAAACACATGCAGTAGGAGAACAATAAAGCACTTTGGGAACATTAAAGTATGTCAACATGTGACAGTAGAGGCACAAACTACACATATGAACCTGGAGATTTGCATAATAGGGCCCCTTTAAAGGGAAATGTGAATCTCTGTGCCAGACGGCTAAGGTGTCAAATCCAACCAACATTATGAAATGATAACACAGTAACATCAATCTAAAATGTTGCTGGAGTTCATTGGAATGTCTGTGTGAAATGAATGTGTCATTACTCTCAGACAGATCCATCTGCTGCTTCTTGACACATGAGTCAGTTTTCAACGTGTTTTCGCGTGCATGTGCATGCTTATAAATCAGCTACAATGTTTCCGTCTGCCTTCGTGGTTACATGAACGCAGCCTGCTCTGGTTGTGTGTGTTCGGAGCGAGGTCTGCGAGCGTGTGCAGTTGTGTCAGAAAGCAAAGACAAACAGCGTCTGTCAGCCGGTCTGCCAGCTGCTGCGCTGATTGATGTGGACGGAAACAGAGGAACCTATCACCCGTGAAAGACAAACTACATGATTGGTTCTGTCGTCTGACATAGGAGAAGTGTCCACTTGATCCCTTCTGATGGCTTTATTTATTCTTTGTTTAATTCAGTTTTAGTTTGAAGACATAGGTTTGGATTTGTTATTCATGTCTACAGTCTGGTGTTAATTGGGCTGTTATCGTCACATTTCCTTATTCATTTTTGATTTCTTCATTCGCTGTTCAAACTGTGTAACTATATTTGACTGAAAAGTGCTTCATAATTAGCCTTAATTATATTCCTTTTGAAAAATCATTACCAAGATTGTTTTTCAAAGCTAACAGCGAGGCTTTTTAAACTCCATCTATCCATAAATGGGTGTTTTATGTGTCGTCTCAAGGCGCAGCAATGATATTTCTTTCCATCAGTGCTCAGAGCTGATTGGATCATTAGGAGTCTTACCATCTGTAACTGTTGGACCATCTCTTCTCTGTAGGCGAGCTCTCTTTTCATCTGGTCTTGGAAATTATCTGAAATGAACGTTAGGATCTATGATTAGCCTGAGCAGTATTATCATTTGAGAAACTGATCAAGTAAAGTTATTATAAAACAGCCGATGAAGGATAAAAGAGGTTTAGAAAGACAAAGGAAAGACAAAAGATACGAGCAGGGGGAAAGGGAAATGGAGAAGAACCTCAGAAAGACAGAGAAGGACACGTTGACCTTGAATGATGTGACGAATAGACTTACGGAAGACAGGAAATGGTGAGGTGCCCTTCAGAGCGTGAAACTCTTGCTCCAGTCTCCTCCTGAAGTCGATCTGCTCCAGCAGAACCTTCTGGAGCTCCTCTGCAGGAGCAGGAGCAGGAGGAGGAGGAGGAGGAGGAAAGAAAGAGAGGAGATTTATGAGTCAAGATTCAAAGGCTTTTTTGAAACATGCACAATAGCTACGTTTTGGCAATCAAAATGTGCACCACCAACAATGCAACGTACAATATACTTAATATGAACCTGATGTACTTATATTATTCTGTTTTCATCAAGTTTGTATCTTGTTGGTCGAACGCACTTATTGTAAGTCGCTTTGGATAAAAGCGTCAGCTAAATGTAATGTAATAAGAAATACAATAGTGCACGAGATTCGTGCAAGCAAAATGCAGAAATAAGTAAACTATATATCACAATTGAGACAAATAAAAACAGAAGGTCAAATAGAATATTCTGCAGTGGGGTTAAATACTGCATATATTGTAGTGATATATAAATGAAGAGGTATTTGGACTATTACCAGATGTATGTGTTTTCTATGAACCTGGGAGCTAAATCCGTCTCTAAGCTGTCATATTGTACATATCATCTGTCGTACTGTTTTCTATTGTCTATTGTTCATTTCTTTTGTATAGATGTTCTTTTGTATATTTATGTTCTTGATCTTGTACATTAACTTGTTTTTCTTTTAATATCTTAACTGTATGCACCAACACCAACGCCTTCTACGTGAAAACCTACAATGCAATGAACCTTTTTCTGATTCTGAATGTTTTACTTGAATATTGGTGACTCAAATGAACATTCTTTACCTTTCTCCATGTTCTCCACGTCCTTCTTTAGCACCACAGGAGAGGCAGAACCTCGGCTTTGATCTCCTAAAACATGGAAAGACTTAATGTTAGATTTTAGTTTTACGTGCACAATGACATATGACAGACATATCGCATATCCAATGTGTTCCCGTCCTTATATACCACAGCATCAGAGACTATATGTCAAATGCAACACATAACAGAGTCACATTGTAATGTATTGCAATCTAGACCTTTATTGATACTTTATGTATATGTGTATTAACCCTTCTTCCCACCCAGACTCTTCAACACAGCCCTGTAGTTCACTCTGTGTCCTCTAGATGTCAGTGTAAGCTTGTGCTTGGCAGCCTGAAGGAGAGCTTTAGTGCACTGTTCAATCTCTTATTGCTGTCAGATCATATTGCTTTCTATTAAGAAACAGAACATTCTGGAATTAGACTAAATGATTTTGTAGCTTGTGAAAATGAAGCAACGGTCTGTGCTGAAAAGGTACTTTAAGGGCCTTTCCATCAATTTGGCAAGAAATAAAAAAATGCATAAAAATAAAGCGTAGCTTGGAGCTTACTCTGCTCTGAAACTGTTGCATGTGATGTCGAAATGTGTGTTTTATTTACCAATGCTAGTGGCTATGAACACTGCATTAGTATAGTACAACTGTATTATAATATGCCACATACACATACTATATAGATGCATATTATGTTTCTGTATATTTTTAAAGCTTTTCTTTTGCTGAGGGCATCTACTTGTTGCGGTAAAACTTCATAAACATCTTTATCTCGTACTGTTTTCCACTGCATCAGTTTGAACGTTTCTATAATGTTCTTCTGCTGGTTTGTATGTGTGTTGCGCTTCATGTCTAAATTGTGACAAATAGGCATTGTGCGCCTTAAATGAAGCGATCCAGCACACTCGATATGTTTATCCTCTCCTCCAGTCATTTCATATCCTGGCTGCTTAAGCCCATGCTTCTCTCTATCTCTCTCATTGAGAGCAGAGAGAGCTCTCCTCTCTCCTCTCTCTGTCTCATTTGACAAGCACATTTGCAGACAGTGCCTGAGGATAACAACCTCGTTTGACAGTCAATTAACCGTGAATAGTCAAAGCCAAGGCGGTTTGCATTACATAAATGGAAAATTAGATTATTTTTTCTCCCTAGAAACAGAGGGAGAGTTTAAAGACAGTGGAGGGAGGGGGGGGGGGGGGACTCGGAGGAATCAGGCCTTCTAATCACGTAGAGCTTCCCACCGCCCAGGGAGACGTTTGGCAATCAGGGGAAAGGTGGTCTCATTTAATTTGTTTCGTGTAATTTTTTCGAAATACATTATACATTATGCGCAGGGATCATTATGGTGTGTGTGTGTGTGTGTGTGTGTGTAGGGGTTGAGGGAGTGGGGAGGGGGGGTAGATATAAATGTTGGCACAGATGTCATAAAGCACTTTTAATGTTTTCCTGACAGATATAAAAAGGCAATAAGCTGTGATCTTTTTCAAACGGGAAAGGGTTTTTTTGCGCTGAGGAGGGGGAAAAAAAGGCAATTATGTCGGCGGCGATATGGGTCTAGGATGGAGATTGCCACCGCGGCTGCTTATCTCCGAGCTGATGTTTTCTTGTTGAACTATAACGGCCCCCCTAAGAGTAACAGCCGTGGCGACAGCGCCGCTAAAGAGAGCAGCCGTGGCAGAGCGGCGGCGGAAGCAGCTTTTCTTTTCCTGTGTATTTATATGAATCCCTTAAATCCCGCGTGA